AAACTTCAGGGGACAGGCCTCTCATTACCCCCTTGGCAGAATTCTTCACAATAATTTCTCTTGTACCTGGAAGTCAGGAGTGGTACTTACTCATCGATGGGCTGAATTTTTATGATCATACATTTAGTAGGCATCTTGTGCAAACAGAAAAGGTTTTTTTATTCTAAGTACATAAAACTTCCCTAATATCTTGAGCAATAATTTTGGGGTACTTAAGCTAATGCTGCCACTGAAAAGTCTTTTCTTTTTGATGGGCCAGATCAGGAGTCTGAATCACTTGAGAAACTTTCCCATTTGCTCTTTATTATTCTGGGAGGCAGGTTCCTCAGTCTGGTTTTGTGTGTGATTTTGCTGATGGTTATGCAGAGATGAGATGAGATGAAGAAGAACAGGTGATTGGAAAAGGTGAGAAGTTGCTTTTGTGATGGCTGTGTTGGCGTGTGGTCATTTCAGATTGCCCATGACAGGTGGGTTGTGTAGAGGGGAATGCTCTGCACTGTCATCTGGAGACACCTTTGGTTCCTGGTTTGGGTCTTCATTGAACAAAGCAAGTTGCAGATTCTTATTGCTCAACACAGAGGGCAAAAAGAATCACCAGACTTTGCCTGAGGTTTCCTTCTTCAGGTTTGGAAGGAAGGACTGTTAGCCAGAAACTGCTTGTCTTTTGGTGATAAGGGAGAGATGAAACATGAAAACCAGTGCTTATATTGACTGGGTGATTTTCTTGAGTGGAAATGCAGAAGAAAAACATCCCAGAAGGTGCATAGTAGAAAAACAATAGGCAGATGGCTGAGACCTGGTAGGGTGAATGTCCACAAAGACAGGTGAGCTTGTACCTGGAGGGACAGGAGCAAAGAGCTTGACCTGCAGCTGCTGATTCAGAGAAAAGAGCTTCCAAGTGTCTTCAGTGCAGCGCCATTACTGTTGTTGTGGCAACTTTGATTAGCTGGTTACCATCTTCCCTGGCTGGGAATGAAGTGGGTCTCTGTTCCCTTGGGAATACTGAAGTTATTCATGTTTTCCCAGAAGAGGGGAGAGTGCTGCTTGGAACGCCAGCTCTCAGTGCTGTGGTGTATTTTGCACGGTTGCTGCTTGGGAGCGGTGGTGTGTCCCAGTGGCTGGGCACCCCTGGAATTGTTCTGTAGGTAAAGGTCTATGGAGCACTCTGTGCCAGGCTGGACAGCTCTGCTGGGATTGTTGTCTGGACAATGCTCTCACTGTGAGGCTGTAGGGCGGACACACAGAATATGTTATGGAACAGTGCTTGCTGTGTCTCTGGCTTGGCATGCCTTAGCAGGCTGTGTTGTGAGCACTTGCCCATGAAGCTGCCAGAAACGGATGCCTAATGGCAGAGAATTTATGAAAATTGATCTCAGCCACGTAAAGATGGAGGTTCAGAGTGAGATCTCAGGTTATAGAGGAAGCAGTTGGAAAGTCACCTCTCAGTAGCTGGCTGAGAAAACTGTCGTGAGGCACCGGTGTGCTTGGTTTTATGAAGTACTAGGGTATAATAATTAGTTACTTGTTACTTAACTAAGTAAGAATCTGATAGTTTTATTAATAGTAATTCTTAAACCAGCTTCCTTACATGGATGTTGAATTTCAGGTGTGGTAGTGCAAGAATCCTGAAAAATGTACTTCCTTGGGAAAACCCATGTTGTCTTTGTGTTTTGAGCAGTGTTCTGCGTATATGCTGGAGTTTGGAAATGAGTTGGGAGTTGTTCTTGTAACATGACATGCAGGTGAACTGCACTGAAGTCAGTCTTCAAAGGAGCCTTTAGCATGGCCTTATCCAGTATTAATTTTCAGATTGAGGATGAAGAATAATATTTTCTTTGTAGGTTGTCATGTTTAAGTACTGAGAATTGCATCTAAAATCAGTACTTAAGTCAAAGGATAACTGCACAAGCTTGTTACAGGCATTTTCTCTGCATAAGTTTCCATTACTTGCTCCAAGATTGAAGAGTTTTGCAGAAATACCTTGTTAGAAGGAAGCTGGTTGCATTTTTGTATGTGCAGTGGAAGGCTGCTTAAATGTGACTACAGCTTCTGAAAACTGTCATTGGTGTGGGTTCTGGCTTTGGCTGATGCCATTTTAGAAGAACATGGCACTGATGCTGTTTGGCTGTGAGAGCATATGAACTTGCATACTTGAAATATGCCCATAGGAGAATCCTGTTATGTGCATGTGGAATCTGTTGGGCTTGTAGAAAGTTATTTAAATTTCAGTTAAAATTACAAATTGGTTTGCAAGACATGGCATTTTGAATAATATTAAAAACTTGGAAGTAATCTTACTTTTTGATTCTTTCATGCGACAGTCATTTGTTTATTACCTCTAACTTAGATTAATGTGTTAGGAAGTATTTATTTGGGATCAAGGATTTTTAGTTTCTTAACAAGCTGTCCATCCAGTCAGTGGTTAGAATTTTAGGAAGTAGTTCTGGTTTCAGGTCTTGTGCAATACCTTAAATAATGTAGGGAAATTTAATGTTTAAAAGATGTGAGGTTTTATTACAATGAGATTCACTTTGGCATTGTAAAATTATTCTTCGGGTTTGCTTGTGGGTTACTTGTGTTGGAAACTTTGGATGGAATCTGGACATGCCTGAGCTGCTCTCTTGGTTCAGCCTGTCACACTCTGTGTGTTTTGCCTTATTTTTTTTCCAGCTGCCTGAGGAAGAAGGAAAGTGTGACTGTATCTCCCTGGCCCTGTTTGCTGGAATGTCAGTGAATATGAATTTCCCCAGACCATTATCGTGGTAGCAAGACTGAGTTTTTAGGTTGTCCTGTTACAAGATCTCTGTGGGGGTGTGATCAGGAAACATCTCTGGTCTGTGATGAGTTTTTAATTACTCTGCCCTTCACTTGTGCAGGATGGAAGGACTTTAATTCTTATTTCTGCATTGCACAGAATCAGCAGGTTGCAGTCCTGAGCACCACTGCAGCCTGTCAGCAGGGCTGGGATGTGTTAGGTCATTGTTTAACATGAGTTTGCATTTCTTCACTTTCTTCAGGGCTCTCAGTTTTAATACAAAACTGACGCATTATGCACAGGGCTGATCCATGATCCATGTATCATCTCTATTTTATCTGTTTTATGAATCTTTTTAACATTTACAGCGCTGTTTTGACTAATGTTTAAAATTATGACAAAATGGCATTTTAATTATCATAGCCTCCAGTGTTGTCATTGAATGAAGAATTATATAGAAAACATTGTTCATCTCAAAAGTATTTGCAGCTTTGTGAAGATAAAATTTTATGAACATAAGTTAATAAAATTCAGAGCATAACCCTGGCCATGTTTAATCCATTCTGAAATTCCATTCATTTTGTTTTTCTCATAGATGTGGCGTTTCTGAGTATTCTTTTAATAGATGAGTTCCACTATTTATTCTCAAATCCAGACAATACAAAGCTTTCCCTTCCCTTTGTGCAAGTCTGGATGAGGGAATGCTTCCCTCTGAAATCAGAGCTAGAAACGGGACATAAACCCAGTGTGGTTGTCCTCAGGCTGTTTCCTTTGGTGTGAGTTTAGCTGTAACCATGGCATGAAAATAATGGCTGTGAACTGTATTGTGTATAACCTGAACATTTACATGTGCACTGGTTGTAAGTGCTGAGTTATTATGTTGCATGTATTTGCAATTCACTGTATTGATCTTCATGGATGCTTTTTAGGCCTCTATTCCACAGCCTGGTAACTAAAGGTCATACATACAAAGAAAATACAATACTTAAAGCTTAAGATTGTCTTTATGTGTTGGCCAACATTATGAGCAAATAAGATACCTGTTTTTCACTTTTAATGTGGAGATATGTGGAAGTTATTCATGGTAATTAAGCAAAGCAGTTTCTAATTCCTTAAAAGCTTATTGCACAAGTATATAGTTCCATGTAGAAGAGGCAGTCTGTTTGTCACTGATGTTTAATATTGAGTTTCTGTAGTAGAAAATTCACATTTGTGTTTATATATTAAACAAAAGTATTTTAAATTGTGTGTCTAGTGGTTTGGCAATTATCTCTGAATTGCTTTTGAATTGGGAATGGGATGAGTGTTTCTTTAACTGTCTCGTATCTTCAGTTTTTATTTGCTCAGTGGTACTTAATTTGGAACAATCATGTAATTCAATTATCTTTGTTCCATATCCATAGCCTTGCTGAAATTAGACTTTTTGGTTGGTTTCAGAAATATTCAGTTCTGTCTTTTGTAGGATAAGACTAATGCAATTAATATTGAGAATTATTCTTGTTCTTTTCCATTACTTTAGCACAAGTTATGGAGTTGCAGAGTGACTCCCAGAGCCTCTCCTTGCCTGCTGTGCCCCTGCCAGCACAGTGGCCTCTGCTGCTTTCATGTTCGTGTTTCCATGCTTTAAACACGGTGTGTTGCTTTAGGAAGTCAATCGGATGAAGCTGGGTTTAAGCTTCCTGCTGAAATGTCCATCAGAAATCCTGCAATGAGTGATCTGCAAGGTGGAATAGGGAAGTGATTGTGTGTGGTTTAATACATGCACATTGCTGCTTGTTGTGAGGTTTGGGCTTTGATTTGGTTTTTTTTTTCATTTGTTTGGGGTTTCCCCCCCCAGCTAAGTGAGCCTTAACTGCCATATTGCCACTCTGAAGATGTAAGAAGTTATGGAAAACAGGTTACTGTTACTGACGTGCAGGTTTTGCAGTAGCTGCAATTGAAGTAATTTTAATGGGTTTGAGGAAAAAAAACCTTGAATCTGATGAGTTCAGAATAAATTACCACAAGGCTTTTGAGTTGTCCTTTTTTGGCTGTGTAGGTTTTTCATGCTGCAGCCTTGAATAAAATAAGTTAATTCACAAGCTACAGGTTTTGTGTTCTAGATGAGACAAGAACTTCAGAGGGAGCTGCCATAATTTGTCATCTGGTTCTGTATTTGTATTAAAATAAGAAAAAGAATTAGCAAATGGCACTGGAGAAATGGACACTCACAATGACAAACCTGCCTTCTTTTTCCTAATTCCAGGGCATATTCCCTTGTGGATTCCAGTCAAGTGTCTACTTTCCTGATTTCTATTCTCCTCATAGTCTACGGCAGTTTCAGGTAAGGTTTTCTTTTTAAGGTTCTACAGAGTTTTTATTTTTCAAGTAAAAATATTGCAAGTGACTGAATACGGTTTACCTTTTTGTTTCATTGTATCTTTGTCAGACATATCCAACATAAAAATTATTTGCTTCTGAGAAGGAAATGGAAAAGGAAGAAATAATAGCAAGCTGGGGTTTCTGAAAGGTGTAATTGTTTGTCATGGTACAAGCACATATAAGATGACTTAAAAGTCAGTCCTTGAGGACAACTCTGTAAAATCATAATTTAAAGAGTAGAAAAGGATTGTTGAGACAGATAGAAGGTAATGTTCTCGACAGCAGAGTTTTCTGTCCATTAGCCAGTGGTGGTAGATTGTGGATGCTGTCCTGTGAGTTCAAACCTGTCCTGTGGAACAGCGATCCCCAGGTCCTGCTGCTGTTTGCTCGAGTGTCAGTGACAGCTTCATGGAGAAGTGGGAAACACTGCCAGTGTTCAACTCCAGCAAAGCATCTCAGAACTGCTGCAGCATGAGTTTGAGTCTTCAGAAATCAAATTTGCCTCATTTTAGGAGACTTGAGTATAGTTTAGAGGAAACTCAATTATCCTTTTAGACTTGCATGCTGTATTATACAGTCTGTTTTACTGTAATGGCACCTAAGGAATGAGGCTCCTACTGACATATTGAAACAGTATAATCACAATATGAAAGTATATTTTTTAAACTTAAATACAGCATGGTTTTCTTTCTGCCTCTTGAAGAACATTGCTTCATTTCACAGCTCTGTGATAAAAGGCCTTATACTCACTATGGAGTCTCTGAACTGCTATGAGTATTCCTGAAATAGCTGATAGCTGTGCTCATCCATATGATGTAAGCTGCAGCTGTTTTAGGATAAGAGGTTTTCTATCACTACTGTAAGTTAATAAAGTCATATAATGAAAGAGCCAATTTTTTTGCAAGAGCTGTGTGTTGTTGTTAGCAAGCGTTAGGTAACAGCACTGCTGGTGAAATTAAAATAGAAGGCTTTAGGAAAACAAAATCTAGAGATGGTCAGAATAGAAAAGTAATCAAAGGTTGGATTTGTTTAGTTTTTTCTCCAAGTTTTGAGTCAGATTAGCATATAGTTGAGGAACTAATTAAATTTTTAACTATTTGAATTTATGCTATTGTGTAAAAAGGAACTGTGCATCTAGCTGCAAGAAGCAATAGCATTTATTAAAATTCAATTACGAAAACATAGTGTAATATAAAACAGCAGGAGTGTGTGAACTTCAATTGCTTGTCTTTCTTGGAGCTCCTTGCCCTTCAAAGTTTTCCCCTGCTGTTTGCCATCCTCTTCCTATTGGTACCTACACATGCTCTTAGCATTTTGCCCTATACTTTACATTTAAAACTACTCACCTAGCAAGGACTGTGAACTCCAGAGCAATCTGACTCACTGGGTGGAGTAGTGGGATGGTGATGGATACAAATCCATTGAGGAAATGTCCTGTTTTAGTCTTTTGCCTTTGTGTGTATCCTGAAGACCCCACAATGTGAGTTACAGACCAAAATAGGATCCCACAATTTTAAAATTACTTTCCCAATCAATCTCCTATATGTGGTTTCTTTAGCAGGTGTCTGAGCTGAAACCCACTGTTACTTTGGGGACTTGGATAAACTGATTCTCTTTGATCAGTGAGTGAGGTCAAAAGCAGTTTTTTTTACAGAAAAGTGCAGTGGTGCTAACAATCAGGTCTGAAATACAATTAAGTTATTTAAGAAATTGAAGTGTGATAGTAAGTTACAAAATGATATTCATCTGGAAATTCTTGAAGTAGTAAAGTGAAAACTTCTGGCAAAGCCGATGAATTTTCTTAGAAAACTGATGTGTTGGAAAGATAAAAGTTACAGCTTAGGGTGCTCATTCTCATCTGTCAGCAGTGGTGTGTTCATCTGGATTTGAGTGCTCGTCTCCTGCAGAGCTGCTGTAAGACAAAAAGAAAATAGCACTCCTCAGTTAACCTTTGTGTTGCAGAAGGTGGGTTTGCTTTCTGATTTTCAACTGAAATCAGCAGGTAGAGTTGTTGTAGTATTCCTGGCAAGTGGCTGAAACAGAAGTGCAGTAATAGGATCAGACAGAATTGGGTGGGTGAGTCATCAGGATAAAATCCACGTGTGTGGTGGATCTAATCTAAGGCAGGCAGCGTCAGGGGAACAAAGGAAAGCCTTGGTCCACTGTCCTTATTAATAGAAGTGGCATTTGTCCAAACCAAATGAAAAAATCCCAAATCCCCAGTATACTCAGAAGAATGTCTAATAAATGGTGGGTAAGGCCCAGAACCAGAACAAAGTGCAGTGACAGAGTTGAGTTCCCCTTCTCTGACTGTGCATGAACGAGCATTTCCTGCCTGTGTTTGTGCCGGGTCAAGAGTTTGCACTTCCAGCCCTTCTGAACATCTCTCTCATGTACATTCTGACTGCTCTCAGTCCTTGAACTTGACATACTTTTATTACTGGCTGCCAAAGGGGCAAGTCTAATCCTTTAAACCGTTAGGAGCTGTAAACTGGAGCATGCAAGTAGATGGGTTAGTTGTGGATTTTTAAAGAGGTGAACTCAGCTTGAAACAGGTTGTCTCTGAGGGCAAGACAGCCACCTTTCCAAATGCTTCTCTGTGACTTTAATGTTGGGGTTACTTTGCAGGTAACAGCTAAATCTTTTTCTGTCCTATCACATCCCCAGACACGGGCTCTCAGCTTATGCAAAGCCAGATTTAACCCAGAATCTACCTGTTCAAATACCTGCTTTTGAGCCAAGCTGAGAAGTGTGGGGTGACCCTGGGGCCTTCTGTCTCTAGGCTTTGAGTATCCAAAGTGTGGGTGTGAATAGAAAGTCGCTCGCATGGTGAACCCAGTGTCATGTGAACATGGTGTGCTGAGCCTTGGCTTTCCAGTGTGGCATTCCCATGCTCCCAGAGGAGCTCTGGGTAGGTGGCTGTCCTCACTGGTAAGAAGGAACTTCTCAATAAGTTCTATCTGCAGGTGCCCCTATAGATCCTTGTATTCCTGTTTTCTTCATTGCTTGATAAGAACATCTCCTGCTGGGTTTCCCTGAAGCATTTCTGCAGTGGGGTGATCCACAGTTGAATGTGAGCTTTGCAGGCAGTGCCGTGCCAGCAGCTTACTCATTCCTTTGGCCTCAGCGTAACCCTCCCGAGGGGCTCCCTGTGAGAGGGTGACTCGCTTGCTTTGAAACCCTGCGCTGGAAATGCAACCAGCTGGAGCTCTGAGGACCCACTGAAGAAACAATGGAGCAGCTCAGTGCCCCAGGGGAGATGCTGACTCAACATTCCCTTTGGGAGCCCAGGAGGAGCTCAAACAGAACAGGGAATGTTTCCCAGCTTGCCATTTCTCTACAGCCCAGTAGTTTTGAGTTTATCTTGTTTTACAGTATGATTTTTAACTTTCTTAGAAGGTGTTTTAGTGATTGCTTCTTAGGTTTTTTTATTATGTTAGTGATAATTTGTAGCAGAGGGAAGAGCCAAATCATAAAACAGTTGGAGATTATTCAGAGGTTGGCTTGGAAGAGCAGCTGTGTTGTTAAGTGAAAGTAATTTCCTAATTTATGCTTACTTTGGAGGCAAGGATATTTATAGGTAATAATAATTGCTGACACTATGGCAATGAAAAGAGAGAGGCTGAGGTTGTTTATGAGCAGTAGATCTGATAGGTTTTATTTCCAGTTTTCTCTGCTGATAGAAATTCCTTAAGTTACGAGTTGCCTGATGCCACTGGGAGAATGATGGTGTGAGGTTCTTGCTAAACTGTGCTAATTTAGAGGGGAAGAAAACACTGCACTGAGAAAAGAATTATCTTGTTTGTCTGAATCTTGGACCAAGTCCTGGAGGGCTGTCAGCCTCCTCCCAGATTTTTATAGCTTGAGAGGAAAACTATAAAGCTACAATGCATAATGGGGAAAAAGGGAGTGCGAGTGAATGATGGAGGCACTCCAAACAAAGGGCAGAGCAAAGAGATCTTTAGAAGAACAAGCTAAGAACAACAGATTAATTTGTTAGAATTTTAGTGTTCTCTATTGCCTCTTTGTATTTTCCATAAGTCTTTAGCTGATGATCCATGGTCTGTGTAGAAGCGCCATGGGATCTGAGGTGGAGGCTTCCTTGTGTTTTGCCTGAGAGCAAAAGCTTCTTTAATCTCATAACACTGTTGGGGAGCATTTGCTCAATAGAAGCAAAGGAAGCAAACCAGTTCTGTGCTGGAAGAGCCTTTTTCTTGGTTTTGTTCTATGGAGTGAAGCTGCTCAACCGCTCTGTCTTTAATACACCACGTGTGTCTTGATCCTATAGACCTGGTTGTGCCTAATTCCAGATTCTGGGACTGCAGCACAGACTTGGTCACCTGTGCATTGCAGTACATGATCAATGCACTGCAATAAAATATCTGTGACACCTCTACAATAGTTTAGAAGACAGTGGTGTATTTGTTACTGGTCTGTTCACTTTGTGTAACTCAGTTAAGCTAAACTTGAAAAGAAGTTTAATTGCTGTTGACCTAGAAGTTCTATTGAAATACTTGGATGCTGCTGTGAGCTTAAGGCAGGAGCTGTACAGTGGGAGATGCACAGTGCTTCTGGTGCTTCTCTGTAGCTCATTTGAATAAATCAATATGCAGCTAAATCATGGATACCACATATATGCATCAATGATAAACTGTCGTGGTAAACTTGATTGCTGGTATTTTTTTTTTAAAAAGCACATTGAATTTAACAAAATAAATTATTGCTGGTCAAAACAGACCTTAAATGAAATTCCCCCTTTTCAGAAAGTTATGCCAGATGTGTTAGAATATAATTTGGAAGTTGCATCAAGGTGAAGGGCTGTGGCAAAAGGGGTAGAATACTGTCTTAAATTGGAACTTTAAAAAAAAATTTTGTATCAACTTGAAAAGATGAATCAAAAGCAGCTGAGCTGGCTGCTCAGGGGAGTGTTGTCCATTCCTATGGATTAATAAAAGTGTATTAATTTATGCTATTTATTCAGAGCTTCCTCTAGTCATTTGTTCTGCGTACATGTAAAATATATATCTGATTATTTTCTAGGCTTTGCTGAAATTTTTTCAATGAAGTATGACCTTGCATTAAGCAGACACTTAAAAGCTAGTTTGGGTCATTCATGAGAACATTTCAAGGAAGGAAATATTATTGTCTTAAAAATGAAACCTGATAGTCAAATTTGAAAGAAAAGGAACAAAAATGAGAACTTGGAAAGAGTTGAAGTTTACAAGAGAATTGAAATGTTTATTGTGCTTCCATTGTGTTCTACGTTTCCCAGAAATCAGGTAACAGCAAACAGCAGCACAGGTATTCAGTGCTCCCCAGTGCAGACACTGGTGACTGATCTCACTGTCAGAATCTGGGATGTGGGGCCTCATTTGAACTAAGCACTTCAGTTATTTTGATTTCCCACTGTGTCAGGTGTTGTTTCTAATAACCAGCATTACAGGGCTTTTCCAGGGGCAGGGTGCTGTGCCAGTGGGAATGAGACTGCGGCTGATGAGCCTAAACAGGAGTTTGGAAGTCATCTGTCACATTTGCTTTGTTCCCTGCAGGTCTCTGAACATGGACTTCGAGAATCAAGACAAAGAGAAGGACAACAGCAGCGCCGCTGGGTCCTTTAATGGCAACAGCACCAATAACAGTAAGGGTCAGCTTTACTCCTTACCCTTTCTGCTTCACCTCAGTGCTGCACCTCCTGCTTCACCTGTGCATGTGTCTGAGCTGCTGCATTGCAGACTCACCTGAGCCAGGCTGTGTCTGGGCACTCCCCACCTCGCTGTGCTCTGACGCTGCTGTCCACAGCTGGGCATGCCGTTAAAGCATCAACATATCATTTCCATAATGCATAAAAATTACATGTGGCACAGTTTGTCAGATTTGACTGGCAATGGAAACAGCTTCACTTTGAAAAAAGCCACTCCACAGTTAGGAGAAGGATGTGTAATTCCTTTGTGGCTGGAGCTCTTTGCTGTGGTGTGTTGGCCAGTCTGTGAGCAGGGAGTGATTGCAGGGTGCACTGGCAGGTCCCTAAGGAGGATTCACCTTATCAGGAGGGAAACTGAAGCAGAGAGGTCACATGGCTCTGGGCAACTCATTTGTAACGGACAACAAATATGTGTGTGCACCCTGTCTGTTCAGGGTGGGATTAACGTGTCAGCTCCTGCGTGGTGACTGTCCCTCCTGTGATCTATAAATAGATTGCAGGCAGCTTGGCCATCTGACATGCACAGTTCTGCAGGTAAAAATATGGAACCAATCAGTTAGAGTGGAACACTGTACACAGTGTGTTGTAAATTCATACTTGAGTTTAACTGAAGGCAATTTATATTGCCATATTTTGAGAAAGGGCTCTAGAGTGAAATAGTTTCCCAGAGTATAGAAGGCAGAAGCGAGAAGCCCTGTGCATGAAACCTTGAATGCTAAGCTTGTTTTGTTTAAAGCAAGAAGCATAGCTTTAAAATGATGGCTGAAATAACATATGTTGTACGTGTCTCTTGCTGGTTTTGTCTTTTCTAATGTAGACTCTTCTTGGAACTTAAATAGTTGTCACAGCACTGCTTCTGTTGGCAGCACAGAGCAAAGAGGTTGCTGTGCTTGGTGATACAGCAATGAACGGTTGAAGCTTTTGGCATCTGGGAAGGAAGAGAAGACAGTCTGGGGCTAGGGAATAAGCACATTAAGGAGATTAGCTGTCAAAATGATCAGAAATTAAAGGAAGAACTCTGACATTTAATGCTGCAGGCACTAATTCCCAGATGCCGAGGTGGTGTGTAGTGTGTCATTTCTGGGCTTTTGTTTTGTTTGGGTTTGCTCTTGGAAAGTTGAAGGACGTGTGAATAAATGTGCTTTGTCAGGGCAGGAGGAATCAGATCTAAGTCACAGATTAGAATTTTTGTGTCTTCACACTGTCATCACTGGACCACCTACATTGCACTTTACCTTAATGTGCCAGACCTCAGCAATGTAGAAATCCCAAGTGACTGAGTTCTTCTGCTTTTTATTTTTAAAATTTATTATACTACTTATGTTTAAGAGTGCATGACATGAACTAATAGGCATGACCATGTGCAACTGTCATGACTTGCATGCTTTTTATTCAGCTTTTATGAAAATGATTGAATTTTTATAACAGATACTAAGTTGTAGTGAGTGTATTTCATGTGTGTTTGAGGTTTTTCAATGTAATCAGATACATTGGTAACTGAGTTGTACAGGTAACCTGTTATTTATATGACTTGCCACTCTTGACAGGAAAAAAATAAAATAAGACACAGTCTTACACAGAAGCACAGACACACAATTTGTGTGTATATTTACATGACTGTGTATGTCTCACAACCCTAAAGGCTTTTCCTTCAAATCCTAGGATTGGTAAAACCCCCTTCACACAGCAGTGTTTAATTATTTTAGGATAACACAGTTGATGTCAAGCTGGTTTTACATCTCTTCTAGGTCTTAGTCTTGTATTATTTTCTGTTGGTCACTTACCAAGTGACTACTTCAGATGCTCCCTATTGTTACTTTAGTGCTCTACAAGTAGAAGTGTGTCTTGTATTTTTAATTGTGTTGCTGCTTATGGCTTCTTTCTCCCCAGGGATCAAATGTAAATATAGCCACAGAGATTGGTTAAGTCTTGGAATTTGTGGGGTTAGGTAGATTTCTCAATTTTGCTGGTAATTCTGAAAACTCAGAAATACAGTAAAAGTTGTCCTTTCCCATGATTAACATCCCTGGTAATCACACTGTATGGGTGAGGTGAGCGAAATACTAACAAGAAAATAATTCAGTATCTCTGCCCTGTTTAAAATTACTGCCAGCTGTGAAATGTGAGCCTGACTTTGTGTTGGTTTTTAGCAAAAAGGCAATTACAGTGCACTTCACTGACCTGGTGGTTTCATAAACAGGTAAATTACTTGAGTATTTTTTGAAAACTGCCCTTTATTGTTAGGCTTGATATTATCTCATGATTGCCTGTGATGAAATTTAAGAGCTTGGTGGCCTTCACCCAAGTGGAATTTGAAGCTGTGGCACCCTTCGCATGAGCTGGGTCGGCCTAACACTGGTTTTCACCTTGTGTTCAGAGATTAAGTAAACCTTACATATGCTCTGTTCAACACATTTATGTGTCTCAGTGTGAAGTGATTCTAATCCCTAAATAATGCTAATTTTCATAGCTTGTCATTCATTCTCTCTGTGGCACCAGATCAGACTGAACTTTCAGTTCCTGGGCTCTGCAGAGCGGGGCTGTGCTGGGCTCAGGGAGCAGCAAGTCAGTGCCTGCTGCACCAGCACTGACAGGAACGTGCTGTCAGAGCCCTGCCCTGTGCTGTGCCCTAGCCCTAACCCGGGGCTGTGTCCCTGTGTGGCACCAAACACAGCTCAGTGTCCCCCTCTCTCCTGCAGGTATTCAAACCATCGATTCCACCCAGGCCTTGTTCCTGCCCATCGGAGCCTCCGTGTCTCTCCTAGTTATGTTCTTCTTCTTCGACTCAGTTCAAGTTGTCTTTACAATATGCACAGCAGGTGACTAAGTTTTCTTCTCTTTATAAGACTTGGAATAGAACAGAAAGTATTGATATAATTAAATATTGTTGGTGAGAATTACAATACGCGTCACAGAACATTAAAAAAAAGAATCATCAGGTTTCACAGCTGTATTTTCAGGTCTGTGTAGCTATAAATAGACAAGTATTATTTGAGATGTATTTTCCACTTAGAGATGTGCTAAACCTACTGAACTGTAAATTGCCAGCAGTCTAAACATGCTCAGATGTGTTATTTTGCATGAAGTTCACTTGTTTATAAATTGGTGCTCAGAACAGTACATGTTTCTTCATGGGAAATAACTTTGGGGATCCTGTCCAGAGGCTTCTTTCCTACTTTAATTTTTTGCTTTAATGCAGTTTTTCTGTTTCTGGTCTCACTAACAGTTGGATATTAGTCTTTTGCACTGCTTGAATTTAGAACAAAATTGAAGTTTACCTGCAAATAAGTTGCAGATCCTCCAGTCCAGTTAAGCATTTACATTTTGTCTTTTAAATAAATGCCAGGGCACTGCTTTTTGGAAAATTTTGGCCTGTTGATCTTTTTGCAATTCTTCAAGAGACCAGCTGCTGTTGAGAGTAGCAAGATTCTTCCTACTGCTTCAGATACACAGCAGCTTCTAAAAATTGTACTCAGTCCACGTACTGAGTCTGTGAAGATTTTTAAACCCTAAATACCTCTCATCCTCTCCTACTTCACTGCAGGCTTTGCCCTTATGGTTTAACTCCTGAGCTATGCCACCCTCTTAAACAGGGCTGATGTTGATGGCTGAAATTTAAATCTCTAGTCTTGAGACTCCTGTCTAATTCTGCCTCCTGTAGATAGAGGCCTGTTGAATTCTGCTTTTATAACTTTGACCTATGACACATATGTTCTTTCCTATTAAAAAAATACTTCAGATAGATTCTACTGTATGCTAGATATGAGGGAAATACACACAAACAAATATATAAGATGTAGCAAGGAAAGATTTATGACAAAAGAGGAATTTTAATTTGTTGGGGTTATTGGTCGATGTATTTTTTTAAATTACCTTGGGATTTGTAACTTCATTTGTAACACATCTGTGTGTAAGTAGAGGATCCTGTGTCCCATGGGGCTTCTTGTAGTCTCAGGGGACTGGGGGTCAGTGCTCTTGGGTATCTTTATTCTCAAATCTGCTTTTATGGTATGTTCTTGCTCTTCCTTGGGCTTGCATCAGAGGCTGTCATCAAGCCCGGAACCTCTGAAATGCAAAGCTTCCTCAGAGGCTGTACTGCAGGATGGGGAGGGACCTGCTGGACTTGTGAACCTGGGGCTGTGGAACTTGGTCGCTCTGTCCCTTGAGAGGGACAGACCAAGCTCAGGTCATGCTGTTTTACATCTTCTGTAGCTACTAGGGGCTGATGTGGGGAACTGCCAAATTACAGCTGATGATGTCTGGTTTCTTAAACCCCTCTCAAATCTTCCTCTCACAGAGATTTGCCTTTCAGGGAAGAGTCAGGAGCAAGCGTAGGTGCAGCAAGCAGCCAAGGCCAGGACCCAGTGCTCGGCGGAGGCAGAGCCCCACAGCTGGCATTGCCTGCAGGCAGGAGTGAAGCCAAGGGATTCCCGACTGAATCGTGGGGATTGAGGCTGGAGGGAGCCCTGGGGCTGAGCCTGGACAGTTGGGATTGAGGCTGGAGGGAATGGGAGCCCTGGGGCTGAGCCTGGACAGTGGGGATTGAGGCTGGAGGGAATGGGAGCCCTGGGGCTGAGCCTGGACGAGGCTGGGAGCAGCTCCTCCTTGCAGTTTAACACCCACTGTGAACAAGCCCAGCATGGGGACACTGGGGCAGGAGGTGCAGGGTTCCCTGCTGGGCAGAGCTGGAGGAGAGGAAAGAGGAGGAGAGATTCCAAGGGCAAAGAGGGTTGAGCCTGTGCTGGGGGAGGCAGGGTAGGGAGCAGGGAGGGCAGGCAGGACTCGGGCAGCAGGGGCACAGGGTTCCTGGGCAGTGTTCTTTGCCAGGCACCTCCAAAGAGGTTCTTAGTTCAGTTTGTGCAGAGGTGCCACGCTGTTCATTCTTTCCCTACAGCTTCTGGTTTTCTTCCCTGCTCTGAAATACTGATAGAACTGTGAGTTTTCATGGTGCTGTTTGTATGCAGACACTTTCGAAATTCTCTTTTTAGATTATTCGAGTTCTCCTTTTTTTGTTTTGTTTTGTTTCAAATCTTCCTCCCACCAGAAGGGAAAATGTGGTTTGACCAAATGAATTTTTCTCTGGTTGGCTTAAACTGTGTAGAGAATGTAAGAAAATGTTTGATTCTTTCCCATCATCTTCATTTGAGAAGAGAACAAAAATCCCTTTTAAAAACCAGCAACAAAAATTTTTAAAGGAATAAGTAGAGAACAGCACAAAGATCTGAACTGCAGCATGCAAAAAGTTCCAATACTTCGATTTTCATGGCAGTCTGTTCTTGCTGCACAGTTTTGGATGTGTGCTGCTGACATGTCTGTGTCTCCACGCCCTCATGCTCCATCCTTTTAAACAGTTCTTTAAAAAAACTGAAAGGAAAAATGATTATAAATACCAGCAGTTACTAAATGTTTTTACAAATGTGTGGGTGGGATAAGTATGCTGCTTGAAAAAGAAAATGTTTATGGAAATAGTCTGTTTGGATATTTATGTATTTTTATCATTCTGCTTTCAAAAACCTAAAGCACTTTATTTTAAAAAAGTGAGGTTGCCAGCTACTGGCTATAAGTTTTTTGAAGTTGTACTGTGTTTTTAGTGATGAATAAAGAGTTTTGAGTGAGATGGGAAATTACTATCCAAGTTAAAAAGTGGAAAAAAACTCTCTACTACGCTGAGTTAGTCTGTGTCATATGTTGCAAAATTGTAAGAAAATCTCACAACCAGTTTGTAGTATATTTTTTTTTTTTTTTACTCAGAATGTGTGAAAACTTTTTCTTGCTGACATGATAATGAATTTATTTAAGACTTTTTTTTTAGGGTTTGGGGAAGGGGCATTGCATTCCTTTGAGAGCTTTCATTTTATTTCAGTCTGAAGGCTCACTGTTGTGCAGAAAACCTCAGAGCTTTGAGCTGTTCGTGCTGGAATAATACTGAGCATATGATAATAGGACATTGTTGCAAGAGCTTTTTCAAATTGGAGAAGCATGTTTGTGTACTGTTGAAATTAGGTCTGAATGTCCTAATATTACCTTTTCTTCTTTTCATAGTCCTTGCAACAATAGCTTTTGCTTTCCTTCTGCTCCCGATGTGCCAGTACTTAACACGGCCTTGCTCACCTCAAAACAAGTAAGGACTTGAGCAATCCTTTTGCTCCTCTTCTTGTGTGTTGTGTTTCTTTCTTTTAATGAGAATTCTTTAATAAGCATTAACCTCAGGGCTGATGTTTGTGCATTTTTTTTGTGCCAACATCATGTTTCCACTGTGAAAGTAGGAAGCACATTTTCTGCAGGTCACTCACACTTGCCAGCCTGGGAAATGCAATACCATTACAGGGGACTAGATTTCCCAACAGTGATTTTTAATAAGTTTGGCTTCTCTTGGCTGAGATTTTAGAGTTTGGGATTTGGCGTTGGATTTTAATGTTTGTTAACACTGGACTCTGGATTTTAATGCTGGCTCTTTTGAACACTGTAGTTAAACCAGTGGAAACTGCAGTTGTTAATTACATGTTTTGAAACTAATGTTATTTTTTAACCTTGTTATTGGAGTTCATGTTGCTAAAAGCACTATCTTAGGGGTGCTAGGAATATTGGAGATTTCAAGAGAGGTGCCAAGATTTACAGGATTTTTTCCATCTCTGCAGTTCATGCTTTACACATAGTATTTGAATGTGAGGAAAGCTTTGATTTTGTTGCTGTTTTGATACCTATTTGTGGCAAAGGAACTTCCCTTCCGTTGTTCTTGGCATCTTTCATCAGCAGTTGAGCCATGTTCCAACAGTGTCCATTTTCTGTTCTTTAAATGGAAGCATAAAGTCTTGCAGCTGATGTCTGTGTGTTGTTCTAGGATTTCCTTTGGCTGCTGTGGGCGTTTCACTGCTGCTGAGTTGCTCTCGTTTTCTCTGTCTGTGATGCTTGTCCTTATCTGGGTCCTAACTGGCCACTGGCTCCTAATGGATGGTGAGTATGTGAATTAAGGGGTTTTACTACTGGTTTGTGCCTCTTCTGACACATCATTCACCCTCATGAAGGGTGAAATTTGCTAATATTAATGGCTTGGCTGCTGTGTGGCAGACTCCCTGAAGAGCCACTGCCAGGAACTTGCCAGGGGAGTGCTTGGAACACCTGTTTTTCTGGTTTGTAAAAGCTTCCAGGGAAGTGCCAGAACACTCATGGAAGATATTCTGCACCTGTGTGGTGTAGGGTGAATGGCCAGGTTGAGTTAAAGATGTGTGGAGACAGTGGTTGTTTATGATTCATAGCTTGATTCTAAAAATCTGGTTAATTTCTGGAGTGCATCTTGTTGTTTATTGGTTCTGATGCTGAACTAATTTGTTGTGAGGCAGCTCACAGTGGCTGGTTGGCTTTGATCTCTGCTATGCTTGCCTTGTGTGGTGAGATGGGCGAAACTGGCAGTCAGCCAGCTGGCTTGAGGGTGTGATTTATTGGGGTTTTTTTGTGGTGGTTGACCTGAATTCAGAGCTTACTGTTCCAAAAAGGAGCCTTCATCCTTCCCTCCTGCCTTACAGATCTCTTGTGCTAGCTCTGGCTCTTAGTTAATCACATGGTAAACTGATCCAGCTCACTAGAATGGCAGCATACTTGGGTTTTGCCAGCCTATTTTGCTGCTGCTGCAGTGAGATGAATTGGATTATTGTGTAGTCAGGTATGTGCTATATTTGGCAGAAGGTAAGTGGCAGCATGATGGGATCTGAGGGGATGGAGTGGATATAATAACAAAGGCATGAAGGAGTAGGCAGGAGCAGGACCTCGGCTTCTCAGCAGTGTCAGGCAGCTAAATTGCCTTAGGACATGGTGTAATGGCCTGCTGAGGTCGGGCTTGCTTGAGGAAAAATTGCTGCAACAACATTACCTGCCCTTGAAATTGTTTGTTACAATAGAAAACATTCATCCCATCAGCTTCCAGCTCCTAAATGAGGTAGCAGCAGCACGTCCTTAGCACTGAAACCTCTCATGGCACCATCATTCTTTCTTTTATATGTGGGCACTATGCTTCATTCATGGTTTGAACTGCTTTAAAAGTCCCACTTGTTGTATGAAATGGAAATACCTTTTAAAATACCAGATAGTAAATGAAAAAATGCAGACAGAGTCCATTTTGTGATAAGCAGAGTAGCCCACCATGAAATCGAGGGTGACACTTGATCTGCAGTAGCTGCAAAGCTAAAAGGAATGTCAAGTGTGGATTTTGGCAGAATCTGAAGAGTTGTCTACACTGAGGTATCAGCGGAAGCATTTATTTAAAAATAGTTATTTTTGTGAGTGCTTCAGTCTGACATGGTGGACTTTGCAGTAATTCATCTACAGAGCTCTGAGCTGCTGGTGCAGCCTGATGTCTGGCTTCTATTTCTGTTGGAGGTTTTTTATGATTTACTGAATTGTGTTGCTGCTGTGTCGCTTTGAATATTAAGGGAGCTTGAACTATGTAGGTGATCCTCCTGCCATTTGCTCAAATCCAATTAAATCAGTGTTTGCCAGTGACAGTAAACAGGGAATGGCTTTTACAGGCCTTTGTCAGGGAAACAGACAACAGACTGGAGCTTTAGACCTCATCCTGTGCTGCTGCAGGTGGGATCCCATCGTCTGTGCCTTCTCTGCCTGAGTCCTGGGGGCGCCGGGGACTCCTGTCCGGGCAGCGCTCGCTGCTGCACCCGGGGGCACTGCTGTCCTTCGGGCAGCGCGGGCAGCTGCCGGCCGTGCCCGGCCCGGAGCTGTGCCCGGCCCGGAGCTGTGCCCGGCCCGGAGCTGTGCCCGGCCCGGAGCTGTGCCCGTGCCCTGTTTGGCCGTCGGCAGAAAACGAGCCAGGTGCTGTGAACGTGCTGCTCATGGGCCGGGCGGGGCTGGAGGAGGAGCCGGAGGAACGGGGCGGGTGTTCCTTCCGAGCAGCAGCCCGTGGAGAGCCCCGGCTGTTCGGTCGGGGCTGTGCAGTCGATTCTGTCAGTGTGAAAGAGCTTTGCAGCTCGGGAGCTGAGGAGAACACGGGAAATACTTCTTGGTGATTGCCAGTCCTTACGAAATCGAGGTGTGGCGGTTCTTGCTGGAGCAGCCTTCGGTGCCCAAATCCTGCCCTGCCCTGCCTGCACAGCCCTCGGCTGAAGTGGTTCTAAAGGCAGGGATGTGTTGCGGGCAGTGAGCCCGTGTTGGCTCGGGGGGTTGTTCTGGCATGTGATGATCACCTCTGTAGGTATTGAAATGCTTATTTCTCAGCGCAGACTGTTGGATGACAGAATCACCAAGGATGGTCGCTGTTCCCTGGTAAAGCCTGGTTAAAATGAAAGCTTTCCTAAATAATGGACAGAGCTGGAGATGTCCAGCAGGAATGCTATAGGTGTGTGGGATGTCTGTAGCTACAGAGTGAACGGCATGGTCACGGATACCCCGGGAGCTGCTGCAGCAATTAGGCTCACTCTCTTCTTTTGAAATACACTTGCATCAGAGCAGAGCTTCACCTGGTGGCCTGTGGGGGAAGTTAAAGCCTCCCCACCTTACACAGTGCTTTGTAAACCAGACTCTGCACCAGCAGCATCTTGGAGCTTTCACCTGCTCTGGATGCAGGAGAGCTGGAAAACTGCCAGAGTCTAATCACATATGCAAGAATATTCTTAATTTCAGAATATCCCTGTTCCATAAGAAGTATGTTTGCAGGGACTCTGGAGTTAATTTGTTCTGTTAATTGGTTAACTCCTCCAGTGCTTTCTTACTCAGCCTTGTTAACCCATTGTCCAGCACTTCCAAACCAAAGCTGCTGGTTGTGTGGCTGTTCTGCCTCTTTTTCTGTCTTTCTCTCATCTTTAGCTATTTTTTTTTATGATTTGAAGTATATTTCAGTGAAGATCTACCTTATATAGTTTGTCAACACTGTGCATGAGCTCGGGTAGGGAAGCTGGCTTCCATTTAGAGAAGTCCATTGACTGCACTTTGGCCCATATTACTTGTACTTGCTCTCGGGCATTCCTGCTTGTTTTTTAAATTTACCAGTGTTTCTTAAAGCATTTGCAAAACTGTGTAATTACTAGCATGTGTATTTTACTGTCAGCTGAAGGGTTTTTTCCATCTTCTTTTTTACCCAGTATTTGCTTAGTTTGATGTCTTGTGCATGTGGCTGTGTTCAGTGAGAGAGAAATGGAGTGTGTGAACAATAGATAAAACTCATACTGGTTACAGTATTTCCATTTCTCATTAATTATAACCTGGAAATCCTCTCCTAAATATAGGCTTGCTTGAATTGTTATTAATACTGGCTTTAGAAAAACCTCTTTGATTTAAAAGAGTCTGTTCCCTTGTATTTGCTCTTCTGCTGAGGCAGTCTATAACTCAGGGCTATAGTGAATTACTGAATGCAGTTCTTTTTTCTGCTGCTTTGCTGTGTCAGATTCTTTAAACCTTAATAATTTGCTCACATTTTGTAGCTAGTTACAGTTGTGCAGCGTGATTCAGGGTACATTTTTATGTCAGTGACCCCACTGCTTTGTCAAAACTCTGTGCTGTGACACTTGGGGTTGTGCTAAGGTTGCCAGTTCTCAGGAGATAAGGTGGGCTTGGCAGAATTGCTGGGGTGCAGCCCCTGGGAACTGCAGGCAGCCACGCTGGCACAAGGCCTAGGGCATGTTTGTCCCTTGAATGTGTGTGGATGTGTTTCCCTAGTGAGTGGATGGAAGATCTCCCCAGCTTTCAGGTGAAGTACAAGTTGTAGGTGGCTTCACAGTCTCATAATACAGCCTAAGAATCCAGGGGTTCATTTGTCCATTTTGGCTGAGTCCAGCTGTCACACAGGTGGGCATGTGCATAATGAATTGGCTTCCCCTGCAGTTCCAGTTGGCAAAAATGGGATTGTAACTTCTTAAAAATTCCATGTCTCGTGTTAGACAAAGACATTTTGTTGACAAATGTCTGCGTGACTGACTGTAGTCTGATCCCAGCAGGGCTCCATTATTCCTCGCAAATAGACTGATATCAAAGATGAAAGCTGATTGGTTTTAAAGGTTTGGTTTTTTTTTTTAGAATTTGTTTTATTGTAAGTATTTCTTTGGGGATTTACTTGTAACCAGTAGAAATACATTCAGTTGTCAGTTGAGTATCCTTGGTAGATGAGGCTGGGCTCAAAGAAGCAGGCAATGACAAAAATGTGTCATTTGGGGTTTTTGTTTAAAATCTTACCTTCCTACCCTGACAAAATTCCCCTTGGTACAGAGTAAAAATCAGAGCTGTGTCTTGCTGTTCAGCTCATTGATCTGGCTGAAAACTCCCCCTTAGGAGGGATTAGACCCATATTTTTTCCCCTAAGCTTTCACACACATTTTGGTTATTGGGAAATCCCGGATATCTAAATGATGTTTCATGGTATTCAGGCAGTCTTGCACAGTCTTGCCCAAGCAGAAGTTTGGTTTGAGTGGGTTTTTGTCAGACCAAGTTCTAACATGTCACATAACCATGCCCTTTCTGAATTAAGCATCAAGGATCTTATTTATTTGATGCACTTCTTAAAAAAAAAAAAAAAACAATAGAGGAAAAGTAGAGGTTTGTGTTTGGGGCACAGAGAATTCAAAGTTGTTTTGTTGCCTCTGTTTTAAAGTGGATAGTCAGGGTTGTACAGGGGAGATGGAGTCTCCAGAACAGAGGAGATGGAAACATTTCTTTGTGGTGGGTGGTGGAAGTTGAGTGGAACAGGCAGTTGTGCCTGGGGAGGGATCTCTGCTTCCCAGGGAACGTGTTTGCAGTTGGCTGCTGAATGTATTTTGACTCTGCTTAACCCTGCTAAGAAGAATGTCACTGTCTAGAAATGGTAGACAGTCATCTGGTGCATGCAGAGCTGCACAGGTGCAAACAGAGGCTTCTCTGGGGTCCTGGAGGGGAGATACTTGCTTGGGATTGGTGTTTTTCTGTTTGTTCTGCTATTTTAATGACCTGGTGATGTCTTGCATTTTGTAGCTCTGGCAATGGGCCTGTGTGTTGCAATGATAGCCTTTGTCCGGCTGCCGAGCCTGAAGGTTTCCTGCTTGCTGCTCTCTGGGTTATTAATTTATGATGTCTTTTGGGTAAGTGTTTGGTTTGGTTTTGCTAAAACTGTTTTTATGCTTTGGATTTGTAATTGGCCTTGGACCTGTTTTATATGAATTATACTGGTATGAAGTTGAGCAAGTCTGGCAAAGCCAGAAGATTGCCTCCACCACTCCATTCTGAGGTGCTGAATTCTACAACAGGATACACAATTATTTCCTTGCTAATTATTTGAAATAAAGCATAAATAAAGGTTAGAATATTTTGGCTTCTGCATATTATTAAAAAACCCCAGAATTTGGATCTCAGATTTTGAAAGCTGGCTGAAGATGAGAACAAGTACTTCCCACACACAGAGCTGTGTCCACATTGGCACAGGGCACACGTGCTGACTTCTGATTAGCAGTGAAATCTGCAGAACAGGAATGCAAATGGACTTACAGCCAGACAGGTTGGCATAAAATCTTAGTGCACTTGTACAAAAAACCTGACAGAATGTGTTCTGTAATAGCAAGAGGGGTTTGTTTTACTTTTTCATAACACCAAGCGCTGATCCAAGGCAGCACCCACTGACTGCTCTGACAACCAGAGATTCCAGTGGGATGGGCTGTAGCATAAAAGCCTCCTAGAGACAAGGGCTGCCTCATTCCATTTATGAGTGAGCACCATGCTCACCTCTTCTCTGTTCTGCACATCCCTTCAATTTTCACGGTGCTGTTATCCGCATTTGTCATCCCACACTATCTGCTTGTTGTCCAGACAGATTCTTTGCCAAAGGATCTCAACACATTAATCAATATCTTGATATCAAAAAGTATATTCCAGTTATTCTTGAGGATTAATAGTGTAAAAAGCTCTATCTGAATTTTTGAAATGCATTTTGCCTTTTATCATCATAAGGAAAATAGCCTTTCTTTTCTTGAGTAGCAAAGCAAAAATACATTCAGCTCGAGTTGCTGTGTAATTGCAGTTTGTAACTTCTGATTACCTTGCTCTGTAGGTCTTTTTTTCTGCCTACATCTTTAACAGCAATGTTATGGTGAAAGTGGCCACACAACCAGCTGATAACCCCCTGGATGTGTTATCCCGGAAACTTCACCTGGGACCAAATGTGGGCAGAGATGTTCCCCGTCTGTCGCTGCCTGGCAAACTTGTGTTCCCAAGGTAAAAGCTTCTTTCACTGCACTACATGAGAAATGTTTTCCCTCCATACACTTAGTAGTACTAACTGTTGGAAAATCCCTGTTTAGTCATTCCCTCTTCATGCTAAAGAGGTATATGATGAGCAGTGAGGGCTGGACACTTTGCTGATTCATGGAGAAAAGAGCCTGACTGGGGTAAAAGGTGCCCTGTTCAGAGCAGGATGCACTTCTCGACATTTGTGAGAGTTCTGCAGCCTGATGGTTGCTAGTGTGACCTCACACTTAAAAGCAAAAGATACAAGATTTATTATAACATCAGAACAGTCTGAATTACTGTGTAATTGCAGATGATTGGGAAGGAATTGGAAACTGATCTAAGCAAGGGTGGCTTCCCAAGCAAGCACAGTGCTGAAGGGACATTATTCCACATGTCCCTGCTCCAGGGGTTCCCTGGTGGCTCACATCTCTAAGCAGACACGCCCAGGGCCTGGTGGGGCAGTAAGCTCAGTGCAGCAGCAGGCAGGCAGTAAGTTTTGTTAGGGTATTACTCTGTTCTTGTGCCTGGTGGGGCAGTAAGCTCAGTGCAGCAGCAGGCAGGCAGTAAGTTTTGTTAGGCTATTAACTCTGCTCTTGTATCTTTAGATGTTGGGATGCTGAAATTACAGAGATTAGAAGTTGATTGTCTGCAGCGATATGAAATCACAAAGTGAACATTTTTCATTGCAAATATCTTGGATTTAAGATAATGGATTATTTTAGTTCTTAATCTTTTTCACAATTGGCTCTTTTCTGGGAATCTGGCAGGACTGGTTTTCTGTTTTGTCTGAATGCCCAAAATGGGTGTACTGGCTTGTTTTAGATCTGCATGCACAGGGATGAAGATGCACTCCACTGGAAATCAACAGTCAGATCAAAGGGTCAGTTGGTCCCTCCCATCAGCGCTGAGGAGCGACAGGACTGAAATACTGGGGCACTGGGTCTGTTTCATTGAGTGGTTTAAGGGCAAAAGCAGTTTACTGGGAGAAGGAAGCTGGTTTGGAGCAATGTCATCTCTGCCCACGTGGGTTTGTGTAAAGCTGAGGTGGTGAAGAAGCCAGTGAGGAAAACCTCATTGGCCAGCACTGGGTTCATGTGCAAGTCTGCCAGTAGAAAGAGGGCCTGTGCCAAATGAAGCTCAAAACACCTTTTGTTTTGGCCATGAACCCAATTCCAGTTGCTCTTCAGTTCCACAGGCAGCCACTTCTCCATGCTGGGGATTGGAGATATTGTGATGCCAGGGCTTCTGCTCTGCTTCGTCCTGCGTTACGATAACTACAAGAAACAAGCCAACAGTGATTCCTGCGGTGCCCCAGGACCAGGGAACATCTCTGGGCGTATGCAGAAGGTCTCTTACTTTCACTGCACACTTATTGGCTATTTTGTAGGTGAGTAATTAGTTCAATATTAAGATTTGCCTAAGTGAGCAGATGTGGGATTATTGTAGTAGGTTTAAAAGATGATGAAAGCAAGTGTAAAGAGGCTTTGAGAGGATGCTTGGTTATGTTCTTTTTAATCCTCCTCTCTTTGCATTTATTGGCATGGTCTAGGGAGAAAAGCCCTTCTATAGTCTTCAAGGGATTTTTTGTAGTTGTTGTATTTAGAGGATGAAAGACAATATCAGTGTGCTTTTGTTAGCACTTGCATTTTGCTTCACTGGCATAAAAAGCATTGTAGCTAATCCCTGAGTGATGGGAAAAATATGGAAGTTTCCAGATGAATTATGCTGTGCATAGTACATAGCAAATTTAAGCAATTCAACTAGGCAATTCCTGCATTTTTGTATTCTGATCCTGACATAGTACACAGAGAAAATCATCAATAGGTACAACTGGAATGCTGTTTATAATTTGCTGTAGCCAGCCCTTTCCTGCCTAATATAAAATAGGCTTTTCCCTCCAGTCAGGGCATGCATGTGCATATCCTGACCTCCCACGGCCCTTCTGAGGCTGAAAAGGAGAGATCACTTCCTACCAATAGCCTTCCTTCCCCCACACCTCGATTTCCCCCCCTACATTCCCTTCTGGCAAGTGTCCAGGAAAGTCATTCCTGATGGGTACAGCCCTTCCTCTGAGCCCCAGCTGCTCAGGCCAGGGGCCACAGACCAACAGTCTCAAGAGCATCATTTCAGTGCAATACAATCAGCTTCCCCCCTTCACATTTTGTTGTATTTTGTCTGAATTATTCTTGGCTTGATCTGAGATTCAAAACTGGACCAAGTGGCTCAACACAGCCTAACACTAAAACAGAATAATTTTTCACTCTTTTGTTTGTTTAAACTGCATTCAGGGAAAGCAAAGCACAGCGAAGTAACATTTCCTCACCTGTCTCTCAGAATGGGGGTGAAGGAAGCCTCAGTGGATGAAATGCTGAGAACATCCACCTGCAACCTGAAGATATCATAGTGACTTTTTCTCTTGCAGGTTTATTAACTGCAACAGTAGCTTCTCGTATTCACCGGGCAGCCCAGCCTGCCCTGCTCTATTTGGTACCATTCACTTTATTGCCACTCCTCACCATGGCCTATTTAAAGGTAAGAGGGGAGAACACGTGGGCAGCAGGGTCAGTGTCCTTGCACTGGGCAGCAGCTCTCAGGGGGATGATGTGTGTCCCTGGCAGACCTGGCCCAGCACAGAGCAACCACTGCTGTCGGGTCAGTCTTCATTTCAGAGGAATGAGCAACTGAGAGATGAGTTCCTGAAATAAAAGATCATTAATGCACATAAAGTACCAGTAGTTCTAATCTGAATAAATTCTGAAATATTAAATTCTGTTTTAATTGAATACGTGAATTTGTTCTTGTCCTGTTGGTCATTAAATACCACATGCACAAAGTTTGAACTTTGATTGGAGAGGCAGAACCTTGCTTGCCTTTTCCCAGTCACCTGTTCTGAACAGAAATTGTAAAATTTGCCCTTCCCTCCCAGGGCTGTTGTCGAAGCACACATCTAGCACTCTGCAGAGCAGAACGTAAGAAAGGGCAGGAATTTCAACCTGAGTAATTGTTTCCTTCCCATCAGAAACCTATTTTGGGTATATCTGCTCTAAAAGTGATATTCTGGCCTGACAGGGAAAGGATTTATTTTTACTGTCTTCATTGTAATTTGTAAAACAGGTGAAGAAGAGATTTGCTCTAAGATGTGTTTCCAGTTCTGTGTGCGTTTTAAAATGTGAATTGTAAGCAGAGTTGAGCATTGTGCTTGTGCTGTTTCCTGCCTAGGGCGATCTACGTCGCATGTGGTCTGAGCCTTTCCACTCCAAGTCCAGCAGCTCCCGTTTCCTGGAAGTATGATGGAACGGACAGGAAGTGACCTGAACTTCTGCCTTGGTCCTTTTCACTTTACCTTGTGGCTTTGTTGTCTCCTAAAGCTGGACTGGCTGGTACTTGGGAAGGTACCAGCGATGGGACACGTATGAAAGGACTTTGTATTAAAGGAGGGAAAGAAAAAGCTGAAATCCCAGAGCTCCATGTGACTCCGTATCTCCCTGCAGATGTGGAATTGGGGACCCTTTGTGCAACTGCAGCCACTTTCCTCTTTTCCTCACTCGGACGGATTAGTACCAGACTATTGCCTTTGTGAGAGAGGAAGAGACAGACTTGAAACTAAAAACGGCTTGAAGTCGTTCAAAAACTTGAACACTAAACGCAAAAACAGTTAAACAAACTGAGGCTTCTTCAGAGAACCCCTCGTGGACATTGGGACCAGTTTCCTGCAGGACTTCGGTTTTGAAAAGAACTGAGACAGAAGGTCTTCTGTCACAATATTGGGTTTTTTGATTTATTAAATATTTCCTGTGGTGTGAGGTTACTTATTAAATCCACAGACATTGAGTGACTTCTTGCAGTATACATATAAAATTTGTTGTAACAAGTTACATTTCCACCCAGATGTCATATTGCAGTGAAAAAGGGCACGATTTTTATACATATATATATACACACATATAGATATATATATGAATAAATAAAAAGGAAAACCTGCTAAGATCATGCTGTGTAGCAGACAGGGGCTTGCTGTAATTTTTAGCATGTAGCGCAGTTACTCTGGCTTTATGTATATGGATCTACAATGAGCTGCTGTTTTTCCCCCCTCCTACAACTGAACCTGCAGTTTAAAACCAAGTGTAGTATTTGTACTGGTTGTCCCATGGACTTTAGGGGATACTTGATTTGATCAATGTAGCAAACTAGGGAAGAAAAAAGTTCAAACCCAGCCCTGTGTGTCTGAGGGGGGAGGAGGTGGGGGTGTCTTTTTTTTTTTTTTCCTCCTTTGATTTTTTTTTTTACAAACAGCTCCCTTGCAGGTTTTTAGTGGTTCCTTCTTAACCAGTGCATGTATTATAGCAGCAATTGTCTTTGTGCTTTCTGATCATAGTAATGTATCACTTGTAAATACATTTTTTCTATTTTCTATTTTTTTGTATTTTTTGCATTTTGTTTCATTAGTGTGCTGTATTTTTCCATGCCCCTGCCCCTCAAAGAAAAAAAAAAGAAAAAAGAAAAACTGTCCTTTACTGTTGTGACTGGTTGGAATTTGTGTGTTGACTGCTTTCTACCTGTAGTCTGTTAAAATGTGGATTTTGTTCTTTCTTTCTTAAAACCAGTAATTCCAGCTGTTATTTTATTGACTGAAAGGTTTTCCTAGGTAACTAAACTTTTTTCCTTTCGAGTACTGTGCCAGGCGAGGTCTGGGGAGCTCTCCTGAGAGCTCACAGCTCTTGTTAGTTGGCAGGTGCTGGCAGTGTTAGTGGCATGGGAGGAGGAGGAATGTTGGAGACTGACTGACAGCAGCGAGGTGACTTTGGCACCGCTTTTGTTCCAGGTAAGGGAGGAGTTGATCAAACACCTGAAGCTCTCGGCACTGTCGGGTGGTACAAGAGCACAGGGGGCACGGCAGGAAATTTTGTCCAGCCACGTGTGTGCTGTATTGCTAATGTCATTACTTGACCCCTTCCTCTGTTCTCAAGCAGGTCTGGCACTGGTGGCAGAGGGCCTGATGCCTCTGAGCTGGCTGGGATGCATCTCCAAGACAGCTGGAATGTCCCAGGATAAACAGTAAGACACAGCTCAGCCTTTGCTGGGGGGCAGGGGCACTGGCATTTAGCAGATGTGGGTGGGTGTGGCAGGGGGGACGTTGGGACTTTCTCACACACTCCCCCAGAACCAGAGTTCTTTTCTTTCCCTTAGCTGAAAGCATTCCCTCTGCCATGTGCCTGCAGTGCTCATCCTCAGGTAACTGTCACTTTTTAATGAAATTAATAGTTCTTCATTCAGAATCTGCTTTTTCTGTTCATGTCAGGTGTTAGGTGCCAGACTTGCTGGGGACAGTAGAAAGGCATCAGTTTTGAACTATACCTCAAACATGAGGTGAATAAAATACTGAGGCAGGTATTCAAATACAAAAGGCTTTTTTGGTGGCTTTTGTTTTGCTTAGAGGTTCCAAGCAGTGGAATAACAAATTCAGATCCACTTCACTGCAGCTTTATCTGCCCAGCCTTTGCACCTACCTGACAATAGTGCACAGCTCAGGCACCATCAGCTTCACAGCAGTTCCCTCCTTTGGAATTATTTCTTTGGAATTCCTCTGGAATTAAAATAGGAGGTCTTTCGCTGTTTTGCAGCAGCATTTTTAGGCCCTGCCTGCTAAGTGTCTTTATGAACAATTTCTACACTTAGAGAAGCATTCTGGAGAAAGTTTTGGAAGTGGTAATTGATAAACACTTGATGAGAATTAATTTAGCTTTCCCCAAAAAGCCTGGCCTTCCTTGTTAAGCTGTCTTGCCTCCCTGCACTCTGTGCCCTTTGCACCGAGACCCACGTGAGCCCTTACTGAGCCCTCTGTGTGTGCCCCTCTCATTGTGCTGGGGCCCTGCCCAGCTGAGCACCCACTGCACTGGAAGGGGTTTGCTGCCCCTTCAGCCAGCAGGAAAAGGATTTTGGTGCTTGGCAGAGGTTCACTGAAGTTTAAGTGTACTAAGAAAAAGTGCTTTCCCAGAGCTTTAAGTTAAAGCTGCAAAGCTTTGTCCTACAGCTCTCCCTCTTCAAACCATTCAGGGGCATTAGAAATGGATCCTACCTGGCTGCTCAGCTGTGGGCCCTCCCTGCACAGATGGACCTTTGGTCCTTGTCCTTCCAGTCTGATGTGTCTCTTCTGGTTGAGGATCAAGCTGTACAGGGTGCTTTGGGTCCTCTGGATGTTGGGAGACTGTGCAGGACCTGGGTTCCTGTCTCCACTGAGTCTGGTACAGTTGCTGATGCCTTCTTTGTTGAACTCCTTAATAAACTAGACACAAAGTCCTGCAGTGAGATTGCTCAACCTCCTGCCCCTTCTTCTGGAAAGTTGTCAAAAGTAACTGTTTTAATAATTGACTAATATAAACCTTCTTGCAAGAGGTAAAATGCTGGCAAAAAAAGTGATAGACTAGGCATGCTTACAGCTCAGTTGTCAGGACAGACCAGAACTGTAGTGTACAAATCTGCTGACAGGTCTGGTTCCCCAGTTTGAATTTGAAATTAGTTTTTTCATTCAAGTTACAGCACTGTCACATTTTCTTACCACTATTCCATGTCTTCATTCTATTATTCTTCCAGGCACTTTGCTTTTTTACTTCAGGATGTCTTTCAAATATACTGTTTTCCATCTTTTTCCAAATTCCAACATAACCTGAGTGTGTGGCTGTTGCCTGGTCTGTGTTGATAGTGAGGGATCTCAACTTAGGTGTAACAAAGATCTAATTTAAAATCAGAATATTTTTTTCCTGTTTTCAGAACAGCTCATCTCCCTTTAGTCTGTAGGGAACTCACAAGGAAGAGTCTGAGCTACATGATACAAAAGCTATCAGGTCTAGGGTGTGGCAGGAAGTAACTCCTGGTTACTGTAACTTTATTTTCTAAAATAGGTTTCTAGTTCAGGCTCCACCTGCTTCATGCCTCATAACCAGTTTCAGGTACTCTTAGAGCATTGTGGGGCAAACCCACAAAGTCCTTGAGAGGTGTAGCTTTTGTTCTTGAGAAGTGACTTACCTCCTTCTCCACTTGTTTCTAATTTATGTGTAACCTGATTTTCCCATCTCTGTGCCCCAGCTTTGCAATGTTGGCTGAGTTTGTCAATTGAGAGGAAGTTGGAGCTTCACATGTGAACAGACCCTTTTCTCCATGGAGAGCCTGGCCCTGCCCACACCTGGGTTTGTGCTCTCTGAGGGTTGCTTGGTAAGAGCTGCTGATTTAATGCTGCAAAACTTGTTTGTGTTTTGCCCTTTCAGCAGTTCCTCTGCAAACAGTCCTGAGGAGCAGACACACTCATCACACAAAGATCTCTCAGCCAGCAGTGAGGAGTAAGCTTGAAGTATCTTGCTCTGAGCAAAGCTATTGCTTTGCTCTGGGAGCTCTGGGCCTTTGTGTGTGCCCATGCTGTTGTACCCCCAAAGCAGTGCAGTGTCACAGGGCGCTGAGCTCTCTGACTGAACCTGCGGCAGCAAGGCAAAACTTTCAGAAAGCTTTTGTTCAAAAGCTTTTCCAAGCTTTTTTTTTTTTTTTTTTGCTACCTCGAGGTTGTAGGTTCTCTGTCCTCCATCAGCTGAGGTGGTCACAGCCAGCACAGTGAGTAACAGGGATGGTTTCATTCTGCTCTGGAGAGAAGCTGCAGCAAATAAGAGCTGGTACTGAGGGAGGCTGAGGGTGAAGAGGGGCACTCAGCAAGCACTGACAGCACAGCAGATCTAAGAGAAGCACCTGGATGAGAGGGGAAATGGGCTGGCAGAAGTGTGACTGACTGTGCTGGCTCACTGGGGATTCATCTGGAGTGCAGCGTAACAGGAACTCTGCATTGCTGAAGTCCTCACATCCCTGCAGCTCCTGTTCTACCTGAGTGGCTGCAAGGAGAAATTAGTGTAAAATAGTATCCCCCATCTTCAGCTACCATCATTGAAGTGAGCCTGCAGCAATCAAAGAGGTGATACAGGCTGAAATCAGCCTTCATCCAGAGAAGCCCTCCATAATTTACAGCACATTCAAGATCATTGGAATGATTTTCCAGTAGGAATGCACTACCTGGCAAGTTCTGTCAATCCTTATGCACAGTAGAACAAGGAGAAACTGAGCACTGGAGGCCCTTGCCCCAACACGCTGTTGCCCTCCAGCGCCCTGCACAGGGATGACTGACATCACTGGGAACTGGTCTCACTGGTGCATGCAGGCCCTACTGGTTTCTGCTCCTGCATCCTAGGACTGGAAGAAATTAATCTAAATTAATTCACATCTGCATTGAAAAAAAAAGGTGAGGGAGTGATGGTCCTTTAAAATCAGGTTTTATTTGTCTTCTCTGCTCTCTGGTGTAACAGAATCCTGCTCTTCTTCTCTGCACACAAGTCTAAATAAATGGCACCACAGGAAAATAACCATTTCCCTCTAGTGTACTTGTCTGGACAAGGAGGCGGACCGGACCATACAGGCTCTAGACTTAATCCTCTCCCTCTTCTCCTGAGTTTAGAGCTTTTCCTTTGGCTGTTGATGCTCCTAAAGTTAATGTCTTGCCAATGATCACTGATTGAGGATGTACTACTGCTAAAGCTTCCTGGTGAGGTTTGTGTGTCATCTCTTCATTTCCTTGTTGCCCAAAACATGTCAAGATTAAAAGCTGTTACTGCCCTATCAGGCACTTCCTTTCCTGCTGATATTGTAGAAGCAGATTTGGGAGCAGAGCGGGTTTTTTGTTTGTTTTGTTTTTTTTACAAAGCAATCCTAGGCACTGCAGCTTAGCTGTCCTTTGCTTCTGTCCCTACAGCCCAGAGCAGCTGAGTGAGCAGGTGCTGGGCCCTGCTGGCCCAGATCGAGGAATTCTTTGCATTTTCAAGTCTATGCAGACAGCAACTACAGTCTCTGCTCAGCTATTCCTCTGTGTGTGGGTTGTCCCTGCGTGTCCTCATGTCTGGCTCCTCTCCTGCTGGAAGTGAGAAGGGCCCTCCTGCAGGGATTACCTCAGCCCGGGCTGTCCCAGTAGGAGCTCACACAGAGCTGCATCCCTCACCTGAACTGCACTGAACACTGATCTGCAGAGGCACGTGACCAGCAGGCTGGAGCAGGGCACAGGGTCACAGCTCTCAGCATCTCTAACTCCGGCACTGGTTATCCAGTGCCATGTAGTGACAAATTTAGCAGAACACACAGTGGCTGGCAAGTGCTGTCATTTTGCCACAACCAAGCCATTCCAACAGTCCCATTTGGCAAAAGCCCCAGGCTGCCCTGTGAGCAGGTTGCCTCCTCCCTCCTGCACTCACAGCCATAACTTACAAACCTCAGTGCGCCATACTTTGTCCAAAGAATCAGCACATTTCAACTAGAGGGGGATCAGTTACTCATTGATGAGGAAAACCTCCATCAATAGCCTCATTCAAGAGGGTCAAACTCCATCACTG